TTAAAAAATTTAAAATTTTATTTTATACGGTGAGATATGCAAATGGAAAGTATGAAAAACATATAAATTGTTTAAAGCAAAAGTATCAAGTGAACATTGGTGCAACCACCACAAAGGTCAAGAGTAGAACACTGCCTGTGACTTTCTGTTTGAATAATAATTAAAAAAAGAGTAGAACACTGCCAACAAACACGCAGATGTCCATCATGTGCCCTGATCATATTGGCTCCTCCGTGAGCTAACCACTAGCTTGACTGTTCTTTTTTGTATAATGGCTCATAATATGGCAAATTGGCCAGCCTACTGGAAACAATGAAAAATGCTGGTAAAATAGTGAAGAGTCAATAAGAAGACATGGAAAAATCAGACCAAAATCTAGGTGAAGGCAGGATCCAGAGAGTAAATAGAGCAATGATGTTACTTTTACCCTAGGGCACATGTCTTACTTGAGAACTTAAACATTTTTTTTTTTGTCTTTCTCTTATATGGCTTTTTTTTTCATATCCAGTTTTATTCTTTTATTGTTTTCAGGGCTCCTTGAAAATATATAATTTTTATTTTATTTATTTATGTATTAAAGTACAGTTGAGTTTACAATGTCATGTTAGTTTCAGGTATACAGCACAATGATTCAGTTATATATATATATATATATATATATATATATATATATACTTTTTCAGATTCTTTTCCCTGATTGGTTATTACAAAATATTGAGTATAGTTCCCTGTGCTATGCAGTAGGTCCTTGTTGGTTATCTATTTTATGTATAGTAGTGTGTATGTGTTAATTCTAACCTCATAATTTATCCCTCCTCTCCTTTCCTCTTTGGTAACCATAAGTTTGTTTCTATGTCTGTGGGTCTATTTCTGTCTTGTACACAAGTTCATTTGTATCTTTTCTTTTCTTTTTTTAGATTCCACATATAAATGATACCATATAATATTTGTCTTTCTCTGTCTGGCTTACTTCACTTAATATGATAATCTCTAGATAAACCCATGCACTTATGGTCAATTAATCTATGACAAAGGAGGCAAGAATATACAATGGAGAAAAGACAGTCTCTTCAACAAGTAGTGCTGGGAATACTAGACAACTACATGTAAAAGAATGATATTAGAGCTTCCCTGGTGGCGCAGTGGTTGAGAGTCCGCCTGCCGATGTCGGGGACACGAGTCCGTGCCCCGGTCCGGGAAGATCCCACATGCCGCGGAGCAGCTGGGCCCGTGAGCCATGGCCGCTGAGCCTGCGCATCCAGAGCCTGTGCTCCACAACGGGAGAGGCCACAACAGTGAGAGACCCGCGTACCGCAAGAAAAAAAAAAAAGTATGATATTAGAACATTCTCTAACACCATATACAAAAATAAACAAAATGGATTAAAGACCTAAATGTAAGACTGGGTACTATAAAACTCCTAGAGGAAAACATAGGCAGAACACTTTTTGACATAAATCACAGAAATATTTTTTTGGATCCGTGTCCTAGAGTAATGGAAATAAAACTAAAAATAAACAAATGGGACCTAATTAAACTTAAAAGCTTCTGCACAGCAAAGGAAAGCATAAACAAAATGAAAAGACAACCTACAGAATGGGAGAAAATATTTTCAAACAATGTGACTGACAAGAGATTAATCTCCAAAATATACAAACAGCTCATACAGCTCAATATCAAAAAAACAACCCATCAGAAAATGGGCAGAGGGCTTCCCTGGTGGCGCAGTGGTTGGGAGTCCGCCTGCCGATGCAGGGGACGCGGGTTCGTGTCCTGGTCCGGGAAGATCCCACATGCTGCAGAACAGCTGGGCCCATGAGCCATGGCCGCTGAGCCTGCGTGTCCGGAGCCTGCGCGTCCGGAGCCTGTGCTCCGCAACGGGAGACGCCGCAACAGTGAGAGGCCCGCATACAGCAAAAAAAATAAATAAAATAAAATGGGCAGAAGATCTAAATAGACATTTCTCTGAAGAAGACATACAGATGGCCAACAGGCACACGAAAAAAATGCTTAACATTGCTAATTATTTGAGAAATGCAAATCAAAACTACAATGAGGTATCACCTCAAACCCATTAGAAAGGCCATCATCAAAAAGTCTACAAATATTAAATACTGGAGAGGGTATGAAGAAAAAGGAACCCTCCTACACTGTTGGTGGGAACGTAAATTGGTATAGCCACTATGGAGAATAGTATGGAGTTTCCTTAAAAAACTGAAAACAGAGTTACCATATGATCCTGCAATCCCACTGCTGGGCATATATCCGGAGAAAACTATACTTTGAAAAGATACATGCACCCCAATATTCATTGCAGCACTATTTACAATCACCAAGACATGGAAACAACCTAAGTGTCCATCAACAGAAGAATGGCTAAAGAAGATGTGGTGCATATAAACAATGGAATATTAGCCGTAAAAAAAAAAATGAAATAATGCCATCTGCAGCAACATGGATGGACCTAGAGAACTTAAACTTTTTTTTTCTAGGCCTAGGGGGCAAGTAGGACAGAAGGCTAAGCCCAGGGCCTGGTTGAATGGGGAATTCTAAAGCCGGGACCTCAGTGTAAGGGTGAATTGCAAGTAAACACACCCCCACCTAACAGATTGAAAGAAAGTTGTCTTGGAAGGGGTGATTGTGGGGAGCTGTAGAGGGGTACTGGACCCATAAGCCAGCCCTCTCAGGGATATGTAGCCTAAATATACATCTCTTGGTGGTTTAAAAAAAAAAAATCCCAAACAGTGCTAGTTTAAAGTTATCTCTACTGGCAGAAGCAAAACTAAATTCTCTCAGGAGGAATGAACCTTTATCTTAGCTTTCAAAATTCCCACAAATAATTTTCCAAGGAAAATGCAGCTCATAGTAAAAAATAACTAAGCACACAAAGAATGAGACTGAGTAAAACCATCCAACAACTGAAAGGGATCTGATAATTCCCATGATCTATTACAAGAAATAAAAGTAAAATAGTTTATTTTCCATTATTGACATATTGCACTTAAATAGTAAGAAATTTCAAGAGTATAACTGTGTTTAAAGTCTTTCTTTTTCCTCACCTTAGTTACCTTCCTTGGAGGCAACCATTTTCCACAGTTTTAGGGGTTCTTATTTTAACTTAAAAAAATGTACTTTAAAATGGGCACGTTGGTTTTAAAAAGGGTTAAATACCATTTTGTTCTCAGGATATATTAATAGCCTCATTTTATAATTAGGAGTATGAAGCAAACTATTAAGGCTACAAAAAATTATAGTGGTAGGTTAGGAACGAAACCTTCTAGGGAAATTTTATGCCATGCTGGCCAGTCTCAAGAGCCTAGCTCAAGACCTGTTATCTTAAATTCCTTTCTAAAATCCCTCTTTTCCTCTTCTCCCCTTTAAACTTCGAAATTGTAAAGTACTACAGATAGCTTAGGTCTTAGTATCCTTGTTTGTGATGTGGCATTTCTCCACCATTGTGCTGTTAGTCCCACTGTTGGCTATCTGCCCAGTCTTGAAGACATAATTTTCAGCAATATAACCCTCACACATGGCTGATTCATTATTATGTAGATCTGGTTTTACTATTGGTCTAACTATGTCCCTTGAATAGCGTACAAAATTATCTCACTTTAGGTCAGGAGATGGGTTCTTGTCCCAGCTTTGTCAATAATTTGCTTTATGACCTTGGCAAGTCACTTAACCTTCGTTTTCTCTCCTGGGTTAACAATTATCAAGATAGAATCATAGAACATTAAAACTGGCAGGGACCTCAGAGTTTACAGGATATAATCCTTTTATTTCATGGAGAGTTGCATGATTTACCCAAGAGCTTTCTAGAACAAGCACCCAGTCTTCAGCATCTCAAACCAGTGCTCTTTACATCAGGCTTGCTTTCGGTGTTGTTCTAAGAAACAAACGAAAAAAACAAAAAGTGAAAGCACTGAACAAGTATAAGACCATTTACGAAAAGCCAGATAATGGTGTTAACCATTAGCCTTACTGTAGTCTGAAAGCTTACTTGAATAAATGTACCCCCTCTAACTAAAAGAAAATTTGGAAGTTCTTCAGGTATGTAAGGAAAAGTCAGAAAAATAAATTAATGGAGGAAAAAAATTAATGGTTGGCTTGCAGAACACTCTTGAAGGGAAAACAAAACTCCCACAAGAGTACTTATATTCTCTTATAAATTCTTTCTGGTCTTTTCTTAGTGCAAGATGAACTTGGGTAAGAGGAGACTGCCTGTTTTTATACATTCCTGAAGGAATGGTATGCATTAAGGGTAACTTGAAATCGAATTATTTGCCTCGCCTATAGTACATATTACATCAGTTCTCTAATTTAGCGCCGCTCCTTCTCTGGCCACTACCCAAAACAAGGTGCTGAAACCTGCGGAAACCACAGTCACCGCAAAAACTCCAAGTCCCATAATGCTCGAAGGGCAGTCTCTACCGCCTCTGCGCAAGAGCAGCGTTTTCGGTACTGGGAGTTGTAGTCATTCAGGGGGCTTCACTTCCGGGAAGTTGGGGAAGGACGCGCCTCCGGAGAACTACATTTCCCAGGAGGCTATGCGCGTCCTTCTCCGCCCCCGCCGGCGTCAGGCTCCACCTCTCCCGCTCCTCCCTCACTGGGCTGCACCGCTCACGCCTTCCTGTTAGTCCGAGCAGGAAGAAGTTCACTCAGATCAGCTGATCCTAACTGACAACAGGAGAGGAGGAAGCCCGGGAGGCAGCAAAGGAGGAGGGGGGTGGAGATGGAGAGGAGGCTGGATCCACCGGTGCCCTGAGGAACAGCCCCCGTCTCCACCGGCGCCCCGGGGTCCCCCGACGCCGCCTCGCCGCAGCAGAGCTGCTTCGTGGTGGGGTTCCCGGGACGCCGCGGTCGGGGAGGGAAGGGCACGGCCCTGCGCCGGACGAGCGCTAGCCCTGGAGCTCCCTCCTTTCCCAGGAGGAAGGGGGGGCGGGTGTGGCGGGGGTGGAGGTGGGGGTGGGGTGGTATAAACAATGGATTCGGCTCTGGCCTCTGCCAGCGTTGGGGGGATTTGGGGGGACCTTCTTTGTTCTTAGACCTTGCTCCTGCCCCTCGGGTTGTGGTGGTGGTGTCCGGAAGGAAGGAAGGGTGAGGAATCCCCGGCTGGAGAGAGGCGTCGAGGTGGGAGGCCGAGTGGGCAGATTGTTTGCTTGGGTCTGGTGGGCGGAGAGGTATCTTTTTGAAGGTTGGTTTTATTTTTTTCTCAATTGTGACAAATTTTGATTTTTATTAACGTTGTGGGAGCTGGTTGGGCACTTCTGTGATTAGGGTGTAAATAAGGTCTCCTAGTCACTCCTTTCGCCTTCCTTGTTTATCTAAAAATAAGATGGATAGATTGATTACTGTATGGGAGGAGTGAATACCCGAAAGGAGGGCTTTACATTTCCTTGGAGCGTTAGTTTGGGTGTCGAGGCGAATGGGAGTTAGGAATATGATTGTGACAAAAAGCCCCTTTCTTGCCCCAGTTATCTATCTATCTTTCTTTCTTATTTAGTTATTTTAAAGTTGGGTTTTGAGTGACAAAGAGAAGAATTATTTGTTTTAACTCACTTCAGGCCTGGCTTTGCAGTGGGCCATAGTGGAGGAATTCTGTCTCCTGTTGCTCCCTTTTTTTGCAGTTAGACAAAAGGACAAAAGGAAGTACAATAATTGTTTTTAATTGTTTTTAAACATGGAATGGTGACTCTTGTTTCCAGGTTTAGAGTCGTTAATAGGCATCTGTCTAGAGTTGAAGCAATCCAGTCACAAGGTTAATTGGATCTGTGCAGGACTTTGATGGAGCTAAAGTTTATTATTATTGTTTCTTCAGCTTTTTACAAGCGTCTTTCTCCACCTCTCCCAATTGTGGGGTGCAGGTAGGGGTGCAGAGGGTGTTCCTCCAAGGACTATTTGCTTAGTGCTTTTGATTCTTAATTTAATAACTGAGGGAACAGAGAATTTCAGGCTGGGAAATAAAGCAACACAGTCTCTTAAATGCCTTGAGACTAGAGGTCATGGTTGTTTTCAGAAGGAGCGGGCTTAACCATGATTTTGAGGAGAAATTTCTAGGATCAAAATGAGCCAGTGTGATTTTTACAAGCGAGAGTGAGAGTTCTCTTGGGAGTTCTGGCCTATTTAATCACAATCTTTTTTTTTATAAGGTGAATTTTTGTTTTTAGATGAGTGAAATCCTTTTCCTGCCTCTATTCTAGGTATCCTCTGAAATACTGACTTGAGCTGCATAATATTGAAAAGCTCCTGACCACTCTCTTTCATTACCAAAACCTTGTGTCTGAGGCCCCATGCATGCGCCCACCTCAGTGAACCCATCAGATCTCTCTCAGATAGCCATAACAGACCCTCTCAAGTTAATTTTAACCACATATTTGCCTGCACTTTATGGAGGATGAAACTATCAAACCAAGTCAACGTTGCTGCTGACTCAGGAGTCTTGGCAGCAGGAAATTAAATATCCGAACATTTGTAAATGTGTGAAGAATTCTAATAAGACATCGAATGTTTTTTTAAAAACATTTTTTTAAGGGTGTTCAGAACCCTGTGGAGGCTGTGCTCAGTCTTCGGACTCAACGCCTTTGTCTTCACTTCTGGGGAAAGCCCAGGTACTGTTATATGGTAGGTGCTTTCTTTCCTGGTCTGAATATGAGTGCGCAGACTTCCCCAGCAGAGAAGGGCCTGAACCCTGGGCTGTTGTGCCAGGAGAGTTACACCTGCAGCGGGACTGATGAAGCCGTCTTCGAGTGTGACGAGTGCTGTAGCCTGCAGTGTCTCCGCTGCGAGGAGGAGCTCCATCGGCAGGAGCGCCTGAGAAACCATGAGCGGATCAGACTCAAAGCTGGCCACGTCCCTTACTGTGACCCCTGCAAGGGCCCCAGTGGGCATTCTCCAGGTGTGAAGCAGAGGGCAGTTGTGAGGTGCCAGACCTGTAAAATCAACTTGTGCCTGGAGTGCCAGAAGAGGACTCATTCTGGGGGTAACAGAAGGAGGCACCCTGTTACGGTGTACCATGTGGCTAAGGTCCAGGAGTTGCTGGAGGAAGAAGGGATGGATGAGGACACCAAGAGGAAGAAGATGACTGAGAAGGTTGTGAGTTTCCTCCTAGTAGATGAGAATGAAGAAGTTCAGGTAAGCGCTCAGTGGTAGTAGGGTTCATGTGGTGGCGGTACAGATCTGATGTTGGCAGCTGGCTCTCAGGGGAGGTCCAGGAGGAGCTCGCATTTTAATCAGTAAGAGGCAAGATCCCGGAAAGCTTACATCTGTATGGAGTCAGATTTAGTTTTTTACCAGCTGCATGACCTTGGGCTGAATTACTTTACCTCTCTGAGCCTTAGTTTTCTCATTTATAAACTGGGGACAGTGCCTAGTTCATTGGGTTGCAGTGAGGATGAAATGACACAGTGTTTGTAAAGCCTGTTACCTAATAAACGCTCAGTGTGTGGTAGCTGTCATTATTATTTTTAGGATTATTATCAGGAAGAACTGATTTAGAACTGTTTTCTCAATGAGAGCACTTTGGCAAGTTGTGAATACATGTGAATGAGGAGGGACTGTGTGTGTGCAGGGAAAGAGACACTGACTTCTGGTGGGTCCCATAGGAGTGCAAAGCTGTAAGTCGTCACCCTGCTAACTGCATTTAGAGACAGGTGTTTGAAAAGTGGCTTTTCGTAAGGGTAGTATCCTCTTCAGATGACCTCTTATTTTCATGTATTGGCTTCTGATCAATAGAAGCCAGTTAGGGCATCTGGGATTACAGAAGGACTGGAGAATATTTGATTTGATTCTGAGCTGGGGAGAGGGTGGCGTCTGATAGGAGCAAGTTGGGGAGATGGAAGTGTGTGACAGGGGCGATTGGGAAAGGGGTAGTAGAATGTTTATACTTTCCGGTGAAGGTGGTACAATTATCATGTCTGTACTTTCAAATGAAGACTGCTTCATTTCACATCCTGGCGTCACTCACTGGCTGTATAACCAAGGGCAAGTTACTTAAACTCCATGCCTCAATTTCACTTCTACATCGCAGCAGTAGTTGAGAGGATTCAAAGAAATTAGGAATAGAAACGGAAAGGCCCTTATCACAGGGCCTGGCACGTGGAGTACAGAATCACTTTGTTGTGTTTGTCAGTATCAGGGAGTGTTTTGTAGTACATTCAGTACTTTTAGCTGTGATGACTCCTCAAGTCTCCAGATTGGAGAAGTACCTTTGTAAGTTACCGCTTGAAAACTTTATAATTACCCAGTGAGTATTTTTCATCTGTCTTTTTCCACCTTAGATAAGGTTATGGAAATGAATTACATCATGATTTCTGTGTACGTATGTTGTCAGCTAAATACTTTTTCTTTTTTTTTTTTTTTTTTTTTTTGCGGTACGCGGGCCTCTCACTGTTGTGGCCTCTCCCGTTGCGGAGCACAGGCTCTGGACGCGCAGGCTCAGCGGCCATGGCTCACGGGCCCAGCCGCTCCGCGGCATGTGGGATCTTCCCGGACTGGGGCCCGAACCCGTGTTCCCTGCATCGGCAGGCGGACTCTCAACCACTGCGCCACCAGGGAAGCCCTGTCAGCTAAATACTTTGCTAACACAGGCTTTCTTGCTTGGTTGAGAGGAACTAATAGAGTTATGGAAGAGTGAGCCAGAACCCATTCTGCCTCCCTTGCTAGCAATAATGTCTCCTCGATGGATTCTGCTCTAATTGGGTGACAGTGTGCACTAAATGTTTTACAAATGGAACACTTGGATTTGGATGATTCCTGTTGGTTTTGCCACCAGTTCTCTTTAATGTCAGCCTTTGGAAAGTCATACTTCGAATTGTTGTCACTTGTGTAAAATGAGAGGAAGATTTGCGATGAACCAGTGGATATTGTGTCAGCACCAAAAAGAGTATTTTTTGAGGGGAGGAGGATGTATTTTCTTTTTTCTTTTTGTAGCACTGGTACATATTTCTTAGCAGAGAATTAAGAAAATATAAGGAAGTGTACTGAAGCAGACAAATCCATCTTTTTTTCTTGTAGTGTGTAATGTGTATATAATTAGGTTGTTTTGTAAAGATTTCTCCCTTCATAAACATTGACCACTTCCCCGGAAATAACAGTTTATTAATTGTAAAAAGCACTGGTTGGGACTAATGGATGGGACAAGAATTTTAGGTGGTGACTTGTTCTCATGGGGTCATGGTGGAAGAGTACTTGGAGAAAATATCTAGCTCACTTTTCTAATGTGAATGTCTAAAACAATTAGAGAGATGATTGTCTGATATAAATCTAGATGGTGAATTCAGCTAAATTGTAGACTCCTGGAGAGCAGGACGACGTCTTGTGCCCTGGATCACGTACAACGGTGGGCATGCTGTCAGCGCATAAATATTTGATGGGTGATGTCACATCTCAACCTCAGTTTTTTAGAAATGAATATCACACACATACTTAGTAAAAAAAAAAAACAAAACTAAAATCATTTGAAAGGGCATACAATGACAAGTTTCCCTCCTCCTTCATACCCTTAGTCTCCTTCGTTAGAACAATCACTATTAACAGTTAAGTACATGCACTTCTAGAGTTTTTTCACGTATACTTACGAATATATGTATGTAGCCTTTTAATTTTTCAACAAAAATGGAATCCGATATACTTGCTGTTCTGTCCTTGGCTGTTTTTCACTGAAGGATACATCTTGTAGAACTTTCCTTATCAGCACATTGAGGTCTACCTCATTATTTAAAGGCTGCCTAGTACTCTGTTGAATGGTTTTTCTCCAATTTTAGCCTATTAAGGGATATTTGAGTTATTACAACCAAGGATGTGTTGAATATCCTATAAATCTATTTAGAAATGGAATCTTTTTGTCAAATGATATGTACATTTTAAATTTTGATTGATATTACCAAATTCCTGAACCTTATTTTCTTAGCTTCTGCAGTACTTCTCTGAGTCTCCCCTGGGTTCTGGTCTTGGCTCATGATAGTTAACATTTAAAGAGCTCTTACTGTGGCGCTTGGCACTGTTCTTGGCATTTGAGCTCATTGAGTCCTGATGAGAACTCTGTGTATTAGTTTCTTACTGTTGCTGTAACAAATTACCACAAATTTAGTGGCTTAAAGCAACACAAGTTTATTCTCTCATTGGTTGGAGGTCAGAAGACCTAAAATGGACCTGATAGGGCTGTGTTCCTTCTGGAAGCTCTAGGGAAGAATGTGTTTGCTTATCTTTCTAGCTTCAAGAGGCCTCCCGCGTACTTTGGCTTGTGGCCCCATCACCCAGCTTCAAAGCTAGTAGTGTTAACATCTTCCAATCCCTTTCTGTCTTTTTTCTTCTGTTGTCACTTGCCTCTCTGTGGCCCTTCTGCCTCCCTCTCACAAGGGTCTTTGTGGTTACATTGGATCCACTTGGATAATCCAGCATAATCTCCCCACCTCAGGGTCCTTAATTCAGTCACATCTGCAGAGCCTTTTTGCCCCATGAAGTGACGTATTCACAGGTTCTGGGCATTAGGATGTGGACATCTTTGGGGGTGGGGTGGGGTGGGGGGCAATTTCAGCCTACCACACCCTATGAAGTAAGTTGTATGTCTTAGTCAGTTGGGCTGCTATGACAGAATAGCATAGATGAGGTGGCTTAGAAACAACAGAAGTCTATTTCTCACAGTTCTAGAGGCTGGGAAGTTCAAAATCATGGCACTGACAGATTGAGTATCTGATGAGGGCTTGGTTCATGACAGCTGTCTTCTCGCCGTGTCCTCACATTGCAGAAAGAAGCTCTCTGGGGTCTCTTTTATAAGGGCACTAATCCTATTCATAAGAGTTCTACCCTCATGACGTAATCACCTCTCACAGGCCTTACCTCCTAATGCCATCACCTTGGGGGTTAGATTTCAGCATATGCATTTCAGGGGGTTACAAGCATTTCGTATATAGCATTGTATTTTCTAGATGAGGACACTGAAGCACAGAGAGATGAAGTGACTTGCCAAGATCAAGTTACGATTAGTGGCAGAGGATTTGTGATCTAAGATCCTTGCTCTATGATACTCCTGTTCTCTCTCACCAGGTCATTTAAACTTTCTAGTCAAACTTCATTCTGGTCAATAGCATCAACTCACCAGTTCCTCATGGCTGCTGTGAGAATCAAATGAAACATATCTCTATATAAATGCAAGACGTTACCATTGAAGAAATCCTTCCTTGTAGCAGTGAAGATTCCGTGATTTAGGCCCCAACTTTGTTTTTCTTTTCATGTTTCTAGGCATTTGTGGGTTTTGATCATTTTCAGTTTAGTACATAGGGATTATTTTAGTAGCTTGTAGGCTGTTACTCTTATGTGTGGTTCCCTCAAATTCTCTGGCCTAGAGTCTCCTAAGATTTGTTGTTTGTGATTTGAGTATTATTTAGTTTCTTTTGGAAAACCTAAAAGGACAGAAAACTTCCTTTAGGTGGTGACAATTTTATCATTACCTTGTTGCCATTTGAGTGTATACTAGAATGGCAGATTTGAGGAGAGATTGACTTTTGGTCTCAGAAGCAGGAACTCATTGGTGGCTTTTATTTTTTTTTATTTTTTATTTTTTTTAATTTCATTTATTTATTTATTTTTGGCTGTGCTGGGTCTTCTTTTCTGTGCGTGGGCTTTCTCTAGTTGCGGCGAGCGGGGACCACTCTTCATCGCGGTGCGCGGGCCTCTCACTGCCGCGGCCTCTCTTGTTGCGGAGCACAAGCTCCAGACGCACAGGCTCAGTAGTTGTGGCTCACGCGTCCAGCCGCTCCACAGCATGTGGGATCTTCCCGGACCGGGGCACGAACCCGTGTCCCCTGCATTGGCAGGCAGACTCTCAACCACTGCGCCACCAGGGAAGCCCATTTGTGGCTTTTAAATGGACACATCTGGCCTACTAGCCAAAGACATTCATTCATTCATCACATTTACTGGGTATATGTTCTGGTGCCAGGCATTTTCTCGGCTCCAGGAAAGCAGAGTTCACACATGTCAAACACATAAAAAGGTGGTTCAGATGTATAATCAAGGAAGAGTGACTGGAAAGCCACTTTTGCCGGATAGTTAGGGGAGGTTTCATTGTAAAGGTGAGTTTTAAGCAAAGACCTGGTGGTTAATACTACCTGGGGAAATAGACCTCCAGACAG